CCCAGTGCAGATCCGCAAAACATCGTTCCTTAACTTTTCCGTTAATTTCCTTTAGCTTAGTGTTTTTTGGTGTTTATCCATACACAATGTCTCCATTTATTTACTGTGTTTCTTGTTTTTTGTATGATTTTATGCATGTAATTACTGTAAACTTCGCGTAAAAAAATTTATAATGAGAGATTTCTTGTGTCTGGAACCAATTAATGTCATTTACATTCATTCTTATGGGGAAAATTAATTCGGTGTTCGAACAAATCGGTGTTCAAATGGCCTTCTGGAACGAATTAAGTTCGGCCTCTGGGGTACCACTGTACTGTGATGCTGTGCTGAACAGCTAAAATTTCAAGCACACAAATGAATAAAAAGCACATAGCCTCTGGTGCGTATTCCAAAAAACCATCAGCTTTTTATGAAATACACTGTGGCCCTATTGCCTTCGGTGACATTGAAAATAAATGTAAGCTAATGTGGGCAACTCACAGCAGCAGTGAGGGAGTGATAAGACACCTTCCATACTGTGGAAGTGAGGACTCCACATAAATGGGTTTCCAGAGACAGACGTTGCAGCAGCGATCATAAGTGAATATACCGTGTTGAGGAACCCTTAATTAGGACGAAACTGATCCACAGTAGCCGTCTATCACTGCATTGCTGCTGCTGCTGTTGTCCGTCTGTCACATTTGCTCAAATCTATTTTGATGGTGACCGAACACAAGAGGACCACAATGCACTTTTTCAGGAACTGGTGGTGATGATATTTTGCATATGCACGCATAGAGGATGTGTGCTTTTGTACACGTGTCTGGATTGTTGCTCGAAACTCATGGTTTTCCGGCCTGCACAATTATACTGTTATGACGATGGGTTTTTTTTCTAGTCATTTATAGTTTTTTATAGTCATTTACAGATTTGACAAAACAGCCGAAACTGAAACATGGCAGTGGTGTGCAAAGCTCAAACACCTTCAGAACCCACTCCATTCTCCAAGTAGTTTTAACTCAAAACTAAAATGTGATGCCTCCTCGAAAATATTTTCTCTACGACCTAATGCTTGCTCACAATATTTTTCACTGCAATGACCCAGACACTAGCCAGCGTGATATTTCAGCGCAATGTCACATAATAAAGTTGAATCCCAAGCCTACTACAAACGAGGTTTTATTTTTTTTGTTGAGAACGTTATCAAGCAAAGCCAATGCCATGTTTATTTGAATACGCTTTAAAGCTTGGCATGCCCTGCAAAAGCAGGGTGCATTGCTTATGTTCAACCACAGCGTTTGGATAAAGACTGCGACCTCCTGCCGTCAACAGACCCTTGAGTTCGGTCAGCTGATTAATCTGTGCAGTACAAGTGCCAAGTTGGAGTCTCATTCTCTCCATTACAACACTGTATGTACAACCATTCAGTATATCGGGAGATATTTTTCACGTATTCTAAATCGCCGAGACTCAAACATTTACCGACTGAAATTCAGAACCTGGTTTTATTTTGTCCGAAAGCACAAGATGTGCACCTAGGATGCCAGCTGAGCTGACATTGGCAAAGCCCGCCGTCCCCCGTGCTGTGCAGATATCGTATCGATGCTGCACGGGTGAGTAACTGTTGCTAGAACAATCCTGTTCCATAACGCGGTAGTTGCGTTCCTGAAGAACACCGCGTTATGGAAAAATCGTGTTAAATTAAATCATGTATAACACAGTCCGCGATAACACGAGAGATGCGCATGCAGGCTGAACAAAGACTGAGGCACGTGGGTAGCATCTAGAAGCATCCAGCAGCATCCCGCTTTGCGTGATGCTATGCCGAGGCAGCCGTACGATCGCTTATTGTTATTCGCGCGACGTAGGTTCGATCCAAGCCCTGGAGTTTGCGTGTTCTCCCGGTGTTTGCCTGGATCTTCCGCCGGGTCCTCCGGTTTTTCTCTCCACATTTAGAATCAATATATTTGGCTGCTAGAAATTTCCACGCGACGATAAGCCACGTCGTTGGGCTATCATTTGCGATAGCCACGTCACTTTTGAAAAAGCTGTATAAGCTCAGTGGGCCTGACCTGGTAAAATAAAAACAGCAAACCGTCTACATGTCTGCTGGGGATGAGCCATGCTAGTGCTGCGTTGCGTGTCGTATCCCGTCCTGCGGGGGTTTGAGCCAGCTCTGTGCAAGTGGAATGTGCTGCAAAACGTCCCTCGGCCACACCGGCCACACGCACAGTCACCGTGTGCGAGGGTCGTGAGGGTCGTGAGGGGCCATCCATCTAGTACGTACGCATGGAGGGGGGGGAGGGGGGGTTAACCCAAATGGGTACTCTTGCATATGGGGGGTCTACTGACAATGTACGTACGTATAGGAAAGGGGGGGGGGGTGAAGCCTCTATAATAATGTGTCTACATTGGCCTTCAAATGAGTTAGATAGTCCGGCGGTGGACTGTTTGCTTAAACACGTTAATATTATTCATCCTTGATCGCTTCTGCATGGATTAAATATCGGCCGGCCGTTCTATAGGATGGGGGGGGGGGTGCGTCAAGCGTACGTACGCAGGTGGGGGGGGGGTGTAAAAAGTACGACTTGCGTACAGAGGGGGGGGGGGGGTCAAGTTTTGACAGATTTTTGCGAACGTACTAAATTGATGGCCCCTGACAGCACCGAACCACGAGTAGAAATTCCCCATTGGTCGGATCCCATTTGCCGTAGACATCGCTCCATCCCAGGGTTATCATATCAGGCTTTTTAAGTGCCGTTAAACGAAACCACTTTTAAATGACATGCAAACTGTAAAACGGCAACTGCCAACAAAGATTTTACGTCTATTGAAACACTTGCAGGGATTTCTAAATATATATTTTAAAGCGTCATACTTGGGATGTTTGGCAAATTCCTTTTCGTAAATTCTTTTTTCTTGCCAGAAACGGCGGCGAGAACAAAGCACGGACACGCGAGGGGGCATACTTTGTTGTACTGCACTCCTATGTGCACCTTGAGCCAGAACCTGTGCAGGGCTGAACGTGATACTCCTGCTGTTATGGAGTGACTCATGCTGCCAGCTATGGCTGCAAAGTTTGGTTGTACATGTTATGTATATTGTTTATTGTTAAATTTGAATCACAATATATATGATCACTGTTACATTGTTTTTTAAAGCTTATTTTGGTGATTTCGAAAATGTGTGGTTAAGCCATGTTTGTTGAAGTACGGAGTTAGCCTGATAACTTTATCTAAATTGTTTTATGGTTATTGTTCGACTGGCATCCCACTGGGATTTTTGCACAAAGCGTTGAAACACGGTGCTTTTGTCTGTAAGATTTTACTGGTTTTCCTGGATGTTTCTGTTGCGCGTCGTCGCTTTAAGATGTTCTTTGTTCATGTTTTTGTTTGCTGCGGTTGCATCCGAGTCAATAGCCTCATGGCTCACAGGGCTACACCTAATAAGTAAAAACTGCTTGGGGTTGGCAGCTATAGTGGTGGGCGGCCAAGGGCAAGCGCAGCATCGTCCATCGTTGTACTGTACTGCTCCGACGTCTGTGCTCCCTCCACACCATCGCCAACCTGCATTGACCAGGGCAGTGGCGTTACGGCCAAGTAACCCGCACGACCCTCATGGCGTGGGGAGGCCTTCATCCAGCAGCGGACAGATAAAGACGCTTGCAACGAGGGCAAGCACTGCACCTGCCCTGTGTGTGTGACACACAGATACGCGATTCCATCTCTGCGTGATCCACCAACGCCACCGAGTGGCTGCAGCACAGGTGTGCACCACCACCACTACCACCCCTGGTGTATGATGATGGCCCCACGACCCCCAAGGTCGCACAAATAACCCCAACTGCGGCTAATGACCTCAAAAATTCAAGAACAAACGGGCCATACAGCATCACCCAATAGGGTTCACCACGACCCACCGTGACCCTATTACGTAGAGAACGTCCCAAATCGCTTAAGAGGAGCCCCATACCCCAGTGACCCATGGCGAGACATCTGGGAGGGTTAAAAATAAATCACCGATGGGGGCTCACGAACAAAAGCCGACAAAATCGACACCAGAGGAGGGCCCAACGTGCCCGCGGTCTCTCCACCACGACCACGACGAGGTCAACGTGCAGCCCGGGGCCGCGAGGGTGACGGACGGGGCGAGGCACCGACACGAGACGGCCGGGACCCGGTGCTGTGGTGCACGCGAAGCCGACTGGGTTGTTCGGTCTCCCCCGAAAGGAAGACAGAAGGTCGAGAGGAGGAGGCCGCCAAGTGGCTTCGTGGATCCGTGGGGCACAGACCCCGGGGAAGTTATTACGATGATGGTGGTGGTGATGATGGTGGTGATGATGGTGATGATGGTGGTGATGATGGTGATGGTGGTGATGATGGTGGTGATGGTGGTGATGATGGTGGTGATGGTGATGATGATGGTGGTGATGGTGGTGGTGATGATGATGATGATGGTGATGATGATGATGATGGTGGTGATGGTGATGATGATGGTGGTGATGGTGATGATGGTGATGATGATGGTGATGATGATGGTGATGATGGTGATGATGATGGTGGTGATGGTGATGATGATGGTGGTGATGGTGATGATGGTGATGATGATGGTGATGATGGTGGTGATGGTGATGATGATGGTGGTGATGGTGGTGGTGATGATGATGATGATGGTGGTGATGATGATGATGGTGGTGATGGTGATGATGATGGTGGTGATGGTGATGATGGTGATGATGATGGTGATGATGATGGTGATGTTGATGGTGGTGATGATGGTGGTGGTGATGATGGTGGTGATGGTGATGATGGTGATGATGATGGTCATGATGGTGATGATGATGGTGGTGATGATGATGGTGATGGTGTTGATGATGGTGTTGATGATGGTGATGATGGTGGTGTTGATGATGATAGTGATGATGGTGGTGGTGATGGTGGTGATGATGGTGATGATGATGGTGATGATGGTGGTGATGATGGTGGTGATGATCCCCTTGCATTGCGCGATTATCGTTTTACCTCAACGCTTCCACACACACACGACGCTTGTGCTGGAAGTATCGCTGGGTAGGCACTGACCCCACTCCTGGCGAGGGAGTCTGGCGGACTTGGCGGGTCTCTCCGGGCTGAGCGGTGTCGGTGTGGTGGTGGTGGTGGTGGTTGTTGTTGTTGTTAGCGCGGGGCACCTGACGGCTCCTCTCACCGTGTCGCCGGGGCAGCCTCGGCCTTGGCGGGAGTCGCTCCTTCGTGCCAGAGCTCGCCGCCCTTCGTCCCGCTCCTCTCGCTCTCTCTCTGTCTCTCTCTCTGCTCGGTCCACTCGTGAGTGAGTGGCGATGCCGTGCGGCGGTGTCGCTGTCGGTGGCGGCCGCGGCTCCGTCTCTGCTTGACGGGGGCCCCGAGTCGGAGGCTCCTCCCCGGGCTGGGCTGGGCCGCCTCCACCACTCGCCGCGAGCAGAGGGGACGCGCGGCGCCCATGTTGGGTGAGGCGAGCGGCGTGCAAACAACCCCCCCCCCTCAACCCCCCCCCGCCCCCTCAACCCCCCACACCCCCAACCCTCCCACCGCCCCCCTCACCGCCCCCCTCAACCCCCCCCACCTCCCCCTCAACCCCCCCTCAACCCCCCCAACCCTCCCCCTCTCAACCCATCACCGCCCCCCTCAACCCCCCGCCCCCTCAACCCCCCACACCCCCAACCCTCCCACCGCCCCCCTCACCGCCCCCCTCAACCCCCCCCACCTCCCCCTCAACCCCCCCCTCAACCCCCCCAACCCTCCCCCTCTCAACCCATCACCGCCCCCCTCACCCCCCCCCCCACCCCCCACCTCCCCCTCTCAACCCCCCACCCCCCTCTCTCAACCCCCCCCCTCTTAACCCCCCCTCTCAACCTCCCACCTCCCCCCTCAACCCCCCCACCGCCCCCCTCAACCCCCCCCCCCACCGCCCCCTCAACTCCCCCCCTCAACCCCCCCCACCCCCCTCTCTCAACTCCCCCCCACCCCCCCTCTCTCAACCCACCCCCCCTCTCAACCCCCCACCGCCCCCTCAACTCCCCCCCTCAACCCTCCCCTCTCAACCCCCCAATCGCCCTCCCTCAACTCCCCCCACCTCCCTCCCTCAATCCCCCCCACCGCCCCCACCGCCCCCCACCGCTGCCAACGGCAGATGGCGTCACGGAGTTCGCGTTCCGCGTGGATGACGTCACGACGCGCACTGCTGCCCCTGACCACGATGGCGGCTGCCCCCTGTTGGAGCTTGCCGCGTGCGCGGGGCGGCGTGCGCGCCACGTGTCCGGCCCCGCGTGGTTCAACAGCAGCGACAACATCGACGGCAACAGCATCCCGAGCAGACAGTCCGGCAAAGTGGTGGTGGTGGCGTAGCTGTGCTGCTGCATGCACGTGGCCTCTAACCCGGCACTGTGGGAGAACAACTCAAGTGTGGCGTGCACTGCAATGTAAATTGTCCAAACGTGCGAGTTAATGACTCCACAACCATGTAACGGAGAAACATGAAAGTTGAAACTCTTTTCCACATCGGCAATGCCCCTCAAAACTCCAAGTTTGACATAAATCACTTATTAAGCAGGTTTTTATAATGCAGATATCTGAAATTATGTTTTCACATTTGTTGATGACAATCATTTTTCAACCACTTTTTAAACACTAAATTGACAGATGTAGTTCTTAAACACATTCCTGCGGAGGGAGCTGGTTGGAACGTTGGGTTTCTCGGTCAATGGTCAGGGTCAACGGCGGCGTGGTGTATTCCGCAAATATGCCCGACTGTGAGGGCGGGCACAAGCCGGCGTGAGTAGGTTAAACGTTGAGTTTTATAAGGGCACCACGGGGTGACCAGCCCCTCCCCACCCAGCCCCACCCTCCCCACCCAGCCCCACCCAGCCCCTCCCCTGTGGGCTGGTGTAACCAGGAGGTTCCTACCAGTATGAGATATTTTGCCTTTTCACAGCTCTAATGTTCATAAATGTATAAAATTGCACGAAAAAATAGATATTTTCTTCTGTCAATTCGCATAGTTAAAAACACAACAATTTCCATGAAAATTTGCAGAAATATAGATTATAATGTGCTGGTGTGCCTTGTCCTTGTTTGGTTTTTCAAGAAGGTAAAATTGAGAAGAAAAAAATATACATTTCCTCATTCAATAACACTGATATGTAAAGTGTAAACAAACCGGTTGCCACGGCAACCGCCACACACCAACTAATAGTCACCACTGATGAAGCAGCAACACAAAATGACAATGGGTGGGGGGGGGACAGCACACCCAATGATGTCGTCACAATGGGGACAGCACACCCAATGATGTCACAATGGGGGACAGCACACCCAATGATATCGTCACAATGGGGACAGCACACCCAATGATGTCACAATGGGGGGACAGCAGACCCAATGATGTCACAATGGGGGGCTGCACACCCAATGATGTCGTCACAATGGGGGGACAGCACACCCAATGATGTCACAATGGGGACAGCACACCCAATGATGTCACAATGGGGACAGCACACCCAATGATGTCACAATGGGGGGCTGCACACCCAATGATGTCACAATGGGGACAGCACACCCAATGATGTCACAATGGGGGGCTGCACACCCAATGATGTCACAATGGGGACAGCACACCCAATGATGTCACAATGGGGGGCTGCACACCCAATGATGTCACAATGGGGGGGGCAGCACACCCAATGATGTCACAATGGGGACAGCACACCCAATGATGTCACAATGGGGGACAGCACACCCAATGATGTCACAATGGGGGGCTGCACACCCAATGATGTCACAATGGGGGGGACAGCACACCCAATGATGTCACAATGGGGGGCTGCACACCCAATGTCACAATGGGGGGGCTGTACACACGGTCTCCGGAGCAACAAGCCCACACGAGTCCTCTTGGAGGCCATCTTGCGAACTGCTGTCGATGGGACGACCGTGCAACAGATGACATCGAGCAAACAAGGCAGCGACACCAATGTCACTGGGAGGTTACCGAGGAGACACCATTGTAGCAGTGTGTCGGTAGCAACAGGGCAACGCCGACCTGGCTGTAAGTTCTGCGAGGGGGGATGTGTGTTGCACTTCTGTTCCCACTGTTCGTAGCCAACCGTGATAATTAGAGGTTGCGGGCTTAACACCCCATTACTGTACTACTATAATAAGCCAAGAATGTGTGTGTCCCGCGCGTGACGTCACGCCACATGAGCCCCCCCCCCCTCATCAATAATCATGAGCGGATGACGTCACTCCACATGAGGCTCCCCCCTAATCAATAATCATGAGCGGATGACGTCACTCCACATGAGGCTCCCCCCTAATCAATAATCATGAACGGATGACGTCACTCCACATGAGGCTCCCCCCTAATCAATAATCATGAGCTGGTGACGTCACGCATGTGGACCCCGCCCCCACCCCCTTATCAATAATCATGAGCGGGGCATTATTTTCGATTTAATATTTCAGATTAGGGGCCATCCATTTAGTGCGTACGCATGGAAGGGTGAGGGGGGTTTAACCAAAATGCGTACGCTTGCGTATGGGGGGGTCTACTGGCATAGAAAACGGGGGGGGGGGTCAAGCCTCGATAATAATAATGCAAACGGCGGTGGACTATCTGTTGTTTGCTTAAACACGTTAATATTATTCATCATTGATCGGTTCTGCGTGGATTAAATATCGGCCGTTCCATAGGTTTAGGTTGGGGGGGGGGTCAAGCGAACGTACGCATGGGGGGGGGGGTGTAAAAAGTCCGCGTGCGTTCAGGGTGGGGGTCAAGTTTTGACAGATTTTTGCGTGCGAACTAAATGTATGGCCCCTGAACTGCAATACACCCCCGTCCTTGTACGGGCTATAGGCTCGTTCATAATAACACTACGTGGTTTGCTGGTCCGCCCTGTACGTTAGTTCCCTGGAGAAATGAGTTCACGCAAATGCCACTGCTGTCGTGCTATGACGGAAACTACAACTGATATCCTGAACTTTGGACCAACAAAAAATATGCTATGGCCAACAACGCAATGCCTGTTTCCTCGTGTACTGGCTCTGTGAATGTTGTAGACTCTTAAATTACAACCATACAGATTTGAAGTTTTTGTGACTGCAGGGATCCATACTCTTAGGTTCTTTCGGTAAAGTCATGTAGGTATAAAATAAATTCAATTAAATCACGACGTTTCGGGCGCAACACAAGCGTCCGTCATCAGGTGGGACAACCACAAGAAACAATTGCTGATTGTTTCTTGAAACAATTTTCTTGATTGTTTCGTGAAACAATTGCTGATTGTTTCTTGCTGTGGTTGTCCCACCTGGTGACGGACGCTTGTGTTGCGCCCGAAACGTCGTCATTTAATTTATTTAATTTTATACCTACGTGACTTTACCGAAAGAACCAAAGAGTATACAACCATACAGCTACGAAGAGATACTGCTAAGAACCCCTTATCAGTCACTCTCAATACTGCATCTCCCAAGTTTCCTGGGGTTTCCAAGTGAACAAAGTAAAATATATTCACACACACACACGTGCAAAAAACATGAACATTATTTACAAAATATACTTTGTAAAATAGTAAGGTTGAACAAATTAACAAAGTATGGACATCTCAAATGTAAGTTTTTTAGAGGTTGGTTGATATCACGTATTCTGTCAAATGTGTAGCATTCGTTCTGGAATATTGTACCATGACAGTTTAAACTATTTTGATTTAAAGCTTTCGTGACTGCAGGGATTCATATTCTTGGTTCTTTCGGTAAAGTCTCGTAGAAGGGAAATAATAAAATAAAATATTTATTACATTTTATAAAATAATTTTTATTGTATTATTTCCCTTCTCCGTGACTAAAATATTTTTTTAATTTTAGAAAAATATTTCATTGTATTATTTCCCTTCTACGTGACTTTACCGAAGGAACCAAGAATATAGTTTAAACAATGTTTTCGTGATATAAGACCACTTTATTCAGAATATTTATTTCGACTGGAGGAATCCGATGAGCTGGCGGAGGAGGCAGGGCGACTGGTTGTTCTAAAGGGTAGGGCCCAGGGCATGGGTTGGCAAACATGCGGCTCTGTAAGAACTGCTGCTTCGTGACGTTGTTTACTAAGGACTCACCGTCTCGTATTCACCACACAGTGCATTTTGGCTCTTGAAATATTGAGTTGTTTTTTATCGAATTATAAAGCAAGTGGCTCTTCTTGTTACATTTTGGTTTGCCGGCACCTGTCCTGGGGGGAGGGAGGAGGTTGCTTTCAGAATGTACATGACGGCCACAGACACTGTGACTCCCCACAGAATAGCATTGAATTCACAGGATAACGGGTCTTCCAGACTTGCTTCAACATGTTTCGTTTGTTCATGCCGACATTACCGAGTGGTGCGTTGTATACTGTGCTGTGCTTGCACAGAGGCCCCAACTTGTTGAAATGAAAACGGCTCAGTTGGCAC